TGTAGTTTTGGAAAGTGTAGTTTGAGAGACCTCCAGCATTTTACATGGGGTGAGAGCAGGGCATAGGCATTAAAATAGGACAGACCTAGGCTCTATAATTAGCTCTACCACTCCATAGTGCAATCTTGTGAAATTACATAATTTCCCAGCTTCATTTCTCTTTTGTGCACCAGAGAATACTATGATCTTTCTTGCATGATTTTAGTGCAAACTTGACATCATGAATATACAAAAGCCAGATTGGCCTGTGATAAACAGTAGTTGTTTTTCTGGTAATGACCTTCAGGAATAAAAGCCTCATGTCCTCTGATCTCATCCTACTGCTCTTTCTGGCAACAGAATCCACTTTTATTACCTCCCAGATTAAAGCTCTTGTCCTGCCCATCAGGAAAGTGACTTGCTTGGGGACTGTCCAGCTCCTCAGCTGTGGGCCAGCCTCCAGGAACCACAGCCCCTGCCTCCGGAACCGCTGACTTCCGTTCATCCTGTGCACTGCCACCTCACAGCCGCGTGCTGGAATTCGCAAACTCTTCCTGGAAGCCACTCTGTGTCAAGCTAAATCTGTTCAGTGCAACTGAAACACCTGGCAGTTTCTGGGACTTTTTTCCTAACTCTCCCCTTGAGGGCCCTGAATAAGATGGTAAAGGACTTGGGGATGTGGCTAGAGGCACAGCACTCTCCTGCCATGCATGAAGTCCTGTGTTCAATGTGCAGAGCGCACATACATGTGCGCGCGCGCACACACACACACACACACACACACACACGAGATGGTATGGCTTCTTTTTTATTTGGAACGGGCTGTATTTTTTAAATTGTTCAGTGACTTAGAACCTTCAGCAATAGAAATGCAGCAAGCTACATTTATGGTTAACCCAAGGTCAATTACCAAAATAAGGCAAAAGAGCCTGTTTTAGAAGAAATGTTGCTCCAGTAACAATAAGTGTTGCAATCCCTACCTAAATTAATACATTGTCCTCAGTTAACAATCCATCTGTTTAAGTACTGTCTGGACTTATGACTGAGGCACGCTGTTCAGACTTACAACCTGCCGCTTGGATTACCAGTCCTTTTTCTTTTGTACCATTCTGTGCATTTTGTTGATAGAGCCACAATGTCTTTTTTTTTTTTTTGTATAGTACATCTTGTTGATACAGTACTGTAATTTTTGCTGCATATAGTGTACTCTACAGTAATTTTATGCTTTATTATATATCACAGTACTACATGTAAGAGCTATACAAATAAAAGCAAAGTCACCAAGCTGGAATTTCCTTTGAGTGTTTCTTTGTTCTGAACATTATAATGTACATACTACATACAATTCCTCATTTAGTGATCAACCTTTTTTTTTTTTTTTTTTTGAGACAGCATCCCGCTATGTAGTTCAGCCTAGCCTTGAACTCACTATGTAACCCAGGCTAGCCTCCAACTCATGGCAGTCCTCCTGCCTCAGCCTCCCGAGGGCTGGGATTACAGGTGTGCCCCTATTAAGGACCTTGTCACAGAACTGTAAATTGGTCACTGAAAGAGAAATGTCTATAATGTGTCAGATGCCTGGCCCAATGAGTCTACTGGTCTTCTAGTGATAAAAGCATTTCCTTCGCTCTAATGTCCAAGTTTTATCTGTGGACATAAGTGAGGTCCCAAGATAAGCAAGATAAAGTTTCTATGATACTAATAATTACTGTAACGCTAACTCTCTTCTCCTGTTTTCCCACCATTCTACAAACTCCAAGAGTGAAAGAGGAGCTGAAACTCAGGCTGACAATCTGGTGGGATTTTAATCTGGCTATAAATAAGCCACCACACAAAAGGTTTACAGTTAGCTTAGAATTCTTGTTAACTTCTATGGTCCCCTTTCA